AACATTTTCTAATGGTAGTGTGCCTCGTGATTTTTTTCATGAAAAAAGTGTGCCTTTGCACAAAAAAGGTTGAAAAACACTGGTTTAAGTTATAATTAACTCTTTAAAGGCAGTGTAAATAAAATAAAGTAAAATATTGACAATTATGGAAGTTTCCTCTTCCCTATAGGGCAGCATTACAAAAATGAACCAATACTATGAAAAGCAATAACTGCCTAAAATGAAGCTGAAGAGCTTCTTGGGGTGAAATATATATTTTTCTTATATCCCTGCAAGATGCAAGTTAGTGTCATTAAACTTCTTTCTATGATTATAATTTTTAAGATATAAATTGCAGACTTTTGAAGAGTGCTGTAAGGAAAAGACTGAAATTAGAAACAAAGGTATATATGCTAAATTACAGAATATGTAAATAATCATAAAACCCCAAGCAATTAATAAGAACATAATTCTTTTAACCATTGTATAGAAGATAAAGCAATTTTGTGAGTACTATTGTTCCCCTTCATCTCAAATAAATTTTCAAATGGAAATATTTAAATGACTTGGGCCTCTTATCTTATATTTTCCAAATCATATTACTTAATACTTGGCATTTACCCTCCCTTATTAATGTCAGCTTTATTTGTACATATGCAGATTTTACTGATATATGAGTTATGGATTAAAAAACTAACTGAAATTTGTTATTCATTAGCAGTAGAAATAGAGTTGCATGGCAGCATGCAACAATAAAATACCGGAATTCATCATTCAAACAATATTTACTAAGATTTTTTCTTAAATGCTTTTCTACATACTTTATAATTTATTTTGAGAAATGTGTAGACTTGAACACTGTGACTTCTTAGCCTGCCACAATTTTTATATACAATGGGCTTTAAGCAATAAACTTAAGAATTACTTTTAGTCAGAAAACTTGACTATGATAACAGCACGTGGTGTTGATCAATAAACTACTGCTACTGTATTCTTAACTGACAACTGAACCTGTCTTCTCATCCTAACAGATTATGAACAATTGTACTCTAAAGGGAAAACTATTGTACAGCAGCCAGTGTATATGTTCCTACAAACAAGCCATTTTTATAGACTCACGCCATTTTCATATTCTTGCAATAATTAAACTATTATATTTTAAAAAAAAACACTCATGCAGTTTTCAAGGCAAAAATCTTAACTATAAAAGCCTGAGAGCTTCATATACTTCTCCCATAAATTTGAAATCTGTGGATGCAAAATAATGCAAAGATTTCTGTATCTTTGCACAGAATGTCTGGTAATAGATTAGTAAGGACCCAGTGAAATTTGAAACTTCTGCTGCAAATGATTACACAAAGTTTAGCATGATCCACATATCACCTTCACTGTAGAAGTTCATGTTTTGTGCCATGGGAATATATTCAAATGCAGTATATTTATTGTGGACACAACTAACCATCAGCGCAGTATGGACATTATGGGGTTTTCTAAACTTTTAACAGTTACATTTTGCAATTATGACTTATTGCCACAGAACCCTGTATTATCTGGGATTACAACTATGAATAACATATTACAGTATGTTCAATTTTCCAATGAAACAAATATCTGATGCTAATATAACCAATATTATTTTTCTGTCAAACTGTTTAGTGTTCCTATGTTAATTGAACTCATACTATTTTAAGCTTTCCTTCAGAGGATAATATTTTAGATTATATAAGGCAATAAGCATCTGAAGAAATACACCTGCCAAGTACAGAATAGTAGGCATCACTTTAAAATAGCCAATATTGTTATTAATAAGACCAGGGAATTTGAAGAACCAGTTGTATTGAGCTAAGATTCATAACGTATTTAAACGTTTTATGTTTTTTTCCAACTATTTGTTAAAAGAAAAAAGGACAATCTCTTGTTAAAAAAAGTAAGTAAAGTTACTATACGCATTCCTACCAATATGCAACCTTATAAAATATTCTTGGAACAGGACAACAAATTAGTATAGTAAATAATTTTAATGTGATTTTTGCTAAGATAAAGGGATCTTATCCTTTTCCAAGCATATAGTACACTTTAACAGAAGGAGCTGGCCAAACTCAAAATTCTCCTGAATTGAGTTTTGATCACTTTTAACAGGACAAGACAAGCCTTGATGCAGGAATACTGTTTAGTATTCTGACAGTACAAAATGAGCTGCCTGCAGCTATTACTCATGCTGTTTAGGGATACATTTCTTTAAGTATTCACTGTATTGAAGGCTTGGTCTCCTTTAGACGATTATCCTGGGGTTAAAAAGAAATTATTTGCAATAAAGTAGGGTATTACATAATTCAAATATATTTGTAACAATGAATGGGAATAATGAAAATGGAAGGTGGATGAAAATGGTTATAATTTTACAACTTAGAAGTAAAATCTCATTTCAATTTTGCATTCTCCTTAAATAAAAGTTTCTTAGAGTAATCAAAGAACAGTCAAACAAATAGATAAAAATAATTTTAAGTGTTCTCATTATAAAATATTGCTTCTATAAATAAAATGTATAACTTTATTATAACTCAGCCCTGCAATTAAAAAGTTACTGTAAGAGAACAAACAAACACTAATTTAAAAATATAAGGTGTTTACAGTATCCATGGCCTTCTAAGAGTTTTGCTATATATTGTTTTATAATGCATTAGGACTGTAAACAAATTTTTAAATACATGAATTTCATTCTTAAGAGTATTTTCCATTAAACATTTCTCACTTTCAAACTAAATTGTAGTTTGAATTATTAGTAGTTAAAATGCATTTTCCTTTCAAATCTACCTCCTATGTGAAATGAATTCCCGTTGGTGTAACAAGAAATTTATGTCAATGTAGCAGTACTTTTTCTTAAACACTGATATCTTCAATGGAGTCAGACTTCATACTTGTTCTAGTAAATTATGCTGGGAAGAAGCTTGGCTGCAAAAGCTGCTGACATGTTTCACACATACTGTATGTAAAAAGTAAGTGAAGAATCAGAAAATATTTTGAAAGGTTCTTCTCAGAATTATGCAAAATGTGCACTTAAATAATGCAGCTTTTGGTCCAACTGAAATCTTCTACTATGAATTTAAAAAATGTATTCATGCACATATCAAATATTTTCTCAGAGTAAAATTCTCCTAAAGTGATGATCAAACTGTTGATTATGAATGTTCAGAAGTGAAAGAAATATCTTATTCATTGGAATCCTCAGACCTGTTAAAATAAAAACAGAGAAATTTGAAAAACTGCTTGAAAACTAGTCTTCGAGCTACATTAAAATTGGCTACCATTGAAAGCATTTATTCTTTCTTCCTATCTTAATTAATCAGCTTTGTTTTGGGGATATCTTATCACATTTTTTTTTAAAAAAATGTACTAATGAAAAAGGCTTGCATCAGAATTAAAGACACACAACTGAACAATGTTCCCACCTGATTGGATGTTGGCTTCTAATAAAAAATATAGTTAAAATGTTTTACAAAAGGGGAAATGGGAGCAAAATATATAGCATATAAGATTTCAGGACTGCCAATTTCAAATAAAATCCAAATTGTACTTCAGTCTCATTTCTTAAGCATAGAGAAACAGTAAATAGGGCCCCATGGATAGTTATCTTCACAACAAAGAAATGCAGGATGATTGAGAACCTCTGAAAAATAAGATGCCGAAAAGACGATTGCAAACCATTCTAATGAGCAAAACGCAGTCACTTTAGGAAACTACTATGGATGCATAGGGAGCTTTCAGCTGAAGCAATGTCACCTCATAAGTCATTGGAAACATGCCTTCTCTGTCATTGTGCTTCCATTATGGAACTTCCCCCTCTTGTAAATTTGGATTACCTTGACATTGCTGGCTTTCTGGAAAAAGATGAAGACACATGGGGTAGCCCAGGATATGTGTTTGCTATGAAAGTAACACAATTTGGGCCTCAATTTGGTTTTTTAAGTTAATTTTAATTGCGTACAAGTGTTTTATCTCTATTTGCCAGCCAAAGATCCATTAGTTAGATTGGGATTTGTATAAATTTATTTAACGATTAAAATAAGACTCTGAAAATATATGTTGGAGGAGCATGGACCAGAGCCAGCTGGAGATGAGACTACGACCTGATTGAGCCATGTGATGGACTTGTGACCTGAGGGGCAAGAACTTGGGGTTTTGATTTGGGTGGGGAAAACTCTGGGTCCTTCAGAGTCGGGTTGTCAACAGCTGTGCCAATATGACATTCCTAATAAATTTGTACTTTGATTGCTTTGGGTCTGTTACTTGGAACCCTGACAGATGTTCCTTGTGAGGAGGGATAGGGTGACCATCTCCCAAGCAGTCTCACAGACCTCCTTTGAGCTTGTCTCCGCTCTATTCTCCATGCCTTCGGATCAAATGGGGGAAGGTGTTCCTCATCAGAGGGAATCTGCTGCGTCTCATCGCCACTGCCTGTCCACAGCCAATCCTTCCCTGTGTTTGAGAGGGCAGGCAACTCCCCGTCCAGTTGACCACCTCTTCCAATCCCTTAGGGATCTGGGATCGCATTGTCCTCAGTCCCTTGCCCCTCCAAACATTCCAGGGGAGACATGCCATCCCCACTGGACAGTTCCAATTTCAATTCCTCCTCCTCCTCCGAACCAGGATCTGATGGGGTCATGACACATCATCACTTGATGCTAAGGGGCAAAATTTAGGCATAACAGTATAGTGCTGGAATTAAGGCATTCAATATTAGACTAGACCAGCGATGGCGAACGGTCGTGTGCGGGCGTGCCGCACCCATAAAGCAATGCACGACCCCCAGCACGCATGCGCGCATAACCAGTGCAACCCCTTATTTTTTGCATGCTTTTTTGCCCTCGCCAGGCTCCAAAGGCTGTATAGGAAGTTCCTGAAGCCTCCAGAGGGCCTCCGGGGGGGACTGTTTTCACCCTCCCCTGACTCCTATAAAGCCTCTGGAGCCTGGGGAGGGCGAAAAATGGCCTTAAAAAAAGGCTAAAGTCAGCTGGCCAGCACCTGAATGTGTGCTGGCCAGCTGACAGGGCAATGCCTCGTGTGCCCTGACAAATGGCTCGGCGTGCCACCTGTGCCATAGGTTCATCATCCTGGGATTAGATAGATCCACATTTAACTATGGAGCTCACTGGATGACGCTGAGCACATTCAACTCTTGACCCAATCTATTTTTTGTCAGGCTGAAAGGAGGTGAGATTGTTCTGAAATATCAAGAGAAATGATACAGTACAAATGTAATAATAAATGATAAAGTAACAGACCATCAATTTTGTCAACATATGAAAATGGGTACTGAAAAAGAAAGCACTTGTAACGCAGTTATTTTTGCAAGTGCACAACTCTTTGTTTTAAATCCTTCTAACAGAATATTGGCAAAAGACTAAAAATAGCAATCTTAGAATAGTTGTTTGGAATAAGATTATTATAAGAAGTCAATGTCATTGGCAGTAGACAGGCATAGGAGGCACAGGAAGAAGCCACAACTGAATAGCAATATTTCAGCTCCACATGTCAAAATCTTCAGGTCAAATTTGTGGCATCTCTAGTTAAATGGATTTGATGTATCAGAATGACCATTGACTTACCTGAAGGGTCCTTTTCTGTGCGCTGCAGAAGAGTCCAAGCATGGGTTAAAATCTGTCCTTCTGCCTAATGGACTGGATTGAATTTCTGGCCACACTTCCTAGTCTCCTTTAATATTCAGTTTTTCAATTAAGGCATGGTCTGTGTAAGATGAATCTGGAGTAGAAATCCATCGAGATCACAGAGTAGAAAGTGCGTTCTGATGAAAGAAGGCACCCCAGGGTGAGGTTGGACTCTCTTGCAGCACACAGAAAAGGACCCTTCAGGTAAACCAATGATTATTTTTGTGCGCTGCTTGGAGAGTCCAAGCATGGGACATACCCAAGCAAAATATGTCCAAGGGCGGGAAAAAGGAGCAACCCAACCCTACTGAGGCATAGAGACAACTGACTGTAAGACTCTTCTTCCAAAGGCAGTGTCCGCAGATGCAAACTTGTCCAATTTGTAGTGTATGATAAACAATGATGGGGACACCCAGATAGCCACCTTTCAGATTTCCTCTATTGAGGCCTGAGTGGCCCAGGCCGCTGTGGTGGCTGCATTGCACGTTGAGTGTGCTGTCACATGAGAAGAAGTTGGTCTCTCCTGTTGCTCTTAGGCAAGAGAAATGCACCCTTGATCCATCTTCCAATGGTGGACAAGGTAACCTTGCGGCCGATGGACGGATGAAAGGCAACGAACAGGGCCTCAAGAGCGACAAAATGGGGCTATATGTTTGATGTACCTCTTGGGCGTCCTACGAACATCAAGGGACTGCCAATGATGCTCCCTGGGATGATTTGGATGCAGAGAAAAGTCTGGAAGAACTACCTCCTGTGCCCGGTGGAAATACGAGTTGACCTTCAGTAAGAAGGATAGGTCGAGATGCAGAACAGCCCTGTCTGGATGTATGGTGCACAAATCATCCTGAACCGACAGGCCACTAGCTCCGAAATCCTGCGTGCTGACGTAATAGCAACAAGGAAGGCAGTCTTAAAAGTCAGATGTCGTAAAGAAGACTGACGGATTGGTTTAAATGGCACATTGGTAAGAGCTGTGAGCACCGTGGGTAGATCCCAGGAGGGATAACGGTGCATACCTGGGGCTCAGACTGGAGGCCCCATGCAAGAAACTATGCACTGACCGGCCCCTACCGGATGAGAGCACGGTAGATAAAGCTGCTAATTGGTGCCTCAGTGTGTTAGGGGCCAGGCCCTTATCAAGGCTCTCTTGGAGGAAATCCAATATCTATGGCAGCGAAGCGGTAGCAGACTGAATCTGCTGCTCCATGCACCAGCGAGCAAAAGCAGTCCAGGTGGCGTCATAGAGTATCGTAGTGGAAGGTTGTCTGGTGGCTTGATTAGTCCTGATGACCTTATTGGAGAACTTGGCCCTCCTCAAGCAGCCCCTCTCAAGTGCCAGACAATTAGACTGAACCACTGGGGCTCCGGATGTAACACCGCTCCTTGGCTGAGAGAGACTGACTCTTGTGGAATTCTCCAGGGTCATGCGATCGAGAGCCAAGTCCGTCTGGGCCAGTGCGGTGGAACCATGAGAACCTCTGCCTGCTCTTCCAGTATCTTCCTGATCACTCTGGGAATGAGAGCCAATGGAGGGAAAGCATAAAGTAAGCTGGCTGGCCAGGAGCAACATAGAGCGTCAATTCCTTCTGTTCAGGGGCACTGAAACCTGGTGAAGAAGCGAGGGAACTGGGCATTCTCCTGAGTGACAAACAGGTTGAACAGGGGAGTGCCGAACCTCTGTGACAGCTGCTGAAAAAGCCAAGGATGTAACCTTCACTCCGAATGATCCAGGGTGGTCCGGCTCAGCCAATCTGCCTGACATTGTTCACCCCAGAGATGTGCTCCGCCCGCAGGGATTGCAGGTGTCGTTCCGCCCAATGCCCGATCACCTCCGCCTCCGCCATGAAGGGTCTTGGCCTGGTTCCCCCTTGTCGGTTTATGTGCGCCTTTGTCGCAATGTTGTCGGTAAGGATAAGGACATGGTGGTCCTGAATGTCCTTCTGGAGTAGTCGAAACGCAGTCGCACTGCCCTCAGCTCCAACCAATTGATGTTGTGCAAAAGATCGTGTGCTGACCACTGTCCCTACGCAACCTGGTTGTAAAGGTGGGCCCCCCAGCCGAAGAGACTGGCATCAGTTGTGATAGTCAGCCTGGCCAGTCCTTTGAAGTAGGTCCCCTTTGCCAGGACCAGAGACTGCCATCACTTGAGGGAGCGAACCACCTTGGGGGGAAGCTGCACCCTGGCTGGTGAGTTGCTGGTTTTGGCCCTCTTCATCGGAAGAAGGAACCACCACAGATCTTTTGAGTGAAGCCGTGTCCAAAGTACAATTGAGAGGCACAAAATCATTTTGCCCAGTAGCAGCGACAAGGTGAGAATGCACAAGCTGGGCGAGAGGCGTTGGGCTAGTTCTTGGAGGCCGGTGATGCGGTCTGGAGACAGGAATACCTGACACAAGGCTGTGTCTATCACGGCCTCCAGGTGCACAAGTCTAATGACAGGAGTGAGATGGCTCTTCTCTAGGTTGATGGTAAACCCATAGCTCTGCAGTCTGCATGGTGATATGAAGGTTGTGCACTGCTTGTGCTGCTGACGACAACTGGATCAATATGTCATCGAGGTAGCATTGTAGGCGTATTGGGCACACCCATAGATACGCAGCAATCACAGACAAGATCTTTGTAAATGTTCTTGGCGTGGATGACAGGCTGAATGGAAGGGCCCTGTTCTGAAAATGGGACCCCGCAAAGAAGAACCTCAGGTATCACCTGTGTGTGGGTCTGATGGGAATATGAAGATACACCTCCTTCAGATCGATCAATGTAAGGTAATCTCCTTCCCAAATGCAGCCCAGAATGGATTGGATGGACTGCATTTTGAATTTTTTGTAGACCAGATGTTCGTTCAACTTTTTCAAATCTAAGATTGCTTTCCACCTCCCCGAGCTCTTGGGAACCATAAAAAGAATGGAATTGAACCCCCTGTGCTCCTACTGGGGGGAACTGGTTCTATGGCCCTGATTTCCCTTAGATGACAAATCTCGGCCTCCATGAGACCCTGTTTGGTGGCATCCTTGGGAGTCGGGCAACAAATGAAGTGGCGTAGAGCAGGAGAGAGAAATTTTAAGATGAGGCCTAAGAGCACTGTCTGAAGGACCCACGCATATGAGGTGATCTCCCATCGGGTGGCAAAGAGTTTCAGTCATTACGGGAGGGTTGGGATGGTGGTCACTTATTTTACCAGAAGGGCCTGTTTCCAGACACCCCGCGAAAGGGCCGACGGGAAAAAGACTGGTGGCGGGTTCTATTCCAAAATGTCTGCCTATCCTACGTGCGATCTGACCCCTGCAGGTAAGAGCGCTGAAAGGAGGAAGTACTAGGATGGGGATCGACCGTGTGCCTACGGAAATAGGAGGATAACCTGTGGTCCGATTTTCAGGAAATGAAAGGCATTACCTTCCGCTTATCCTTGTTCTCAATTAGCACAGAATCTAGGGCCTCCCCAAATAGCTTGTCCCTCTTGAAGGGAGTGGAAGCTTGGATCTCATGTCCGTGTTTCAATGCAGAGCCAAAGGAGCCGGCGAGATGAGATGTTGGAAGCCATAGCACGCGAAGCGAACTTTGCCACATTAAGAGTGGCATTCGCCGAATATTCCACGGCGGCCAGGATCTTATTAACATCATGACGCAATCTAGCATCCCCTGCAGGTAGCCTAGTGAGCAGCTGGCGAAGCTAAGTTATGGTAGCTCTGTTAAAGAAAGAGGCTGAGGTGGCCGCCTTAATGGCCCACGCTGCGGCTTGATGAGTTTTATGACAAGCATGTTCAGTCCTCTTGTTCTCAGCCTTAAGGCCCTCCAATAATTCGGGTGGCAGCACTGAAGATGAGGTAAGGGCAGCTACCAGAGGGTCGATAGAGAGAAGCTTAAGAAGCTCTTCCATGGTAGGATCCACTGAATAGAGGCACTTATCATTACTACCAGGAGTGGCTAAGGTCCCTGGTTGCACCCATTGGCGCTGGACTACATCCTTAAATAGTTTGGGAGAGGGAACAATCTCCTGTGCCGGAACCTGTTCATCGAATAACTCCTTGCTATGGTCTGCTGGATCCGCAGAAGGCTGGTCTGAGGCAGCTGCCACCTCCATGTGGGTGGATACCTTTGCCTTAAAAAGAATAGACTTAAATAGCGTGGGTTTAAACAACCCAGCAAAGGCTGGCTTGTCAGGGATCATGTTCTCGTCGTCGAACAACTCTTGATCCCCAACATCCTCCTCATCCCAAACCGACTTTGCACTGGTGTGGCCAGAATTTCTGGTGTGGCAAGAAGTTCAATCCAGTCCATTTGGGCAGAAGGACAGAATTTAACCCATGCTTGGACTCTCCAAGCAGCACACAGGAAAACTGGAGAAAAATATCCTTGAGTTGCTTTCTATTGGAATCCAGCATCATTAGCATTTTTGACCCAGATGCAGAGCCATTTAATATGCTTAACTACTGCAGACAGAGCTATGGATGAGACCAACATTTGCATCTAGAAACTGCTCATTTAATATAAAAATTATTCTGCAGTAAATTTTACACCGAAAAAATACAGTTATTGTATTTTTACTAGGCTATATTATTAAATGAAAGCTCTCTTAACTGAAAAACACATTTTAAAGACCTCAGACATGGCCTTCATTTTATTAAATTTACCAGTAATTAGCTACTAGCATGCCAATTCATTTATTAATTTGATAAGGGCATCTTTGTCAAATTGGTAACAACCATGACAGCAAGTTGAATGTAAAACTAACACAGCAAATGTTTGAATTCAGTTTATAATCCAGAAATCAGATTAAGACTTAATGCCCTAAATTGAACCTTCTACTATGTGAACCTGATAAAGTTATATTGTAACTCAGAAAAACATATGCCTTTTAATAAAATTTGTACATCTGAAAATTCATCACCAAACATTTTTGGCTGACATAGGCCACATGGCTTTTCTCTTATGTTTAATATGTTTATAAATTCTAATAGAAGATAATATATGTAGCTCAGAGTTGAATTATGGAAACGTTGCTTTTTATTTGCTTGCAGATGTGTTTTCACCCAACTAAGTAATGTGTCAGGTGACAAGGAAGCATTAGCTGGAAGGGACCAAAGATAACTTTTTTTCCACAGTGGCCCCTGCTCAATGGAACATCCTTCCTTTGGAGATTAGAATGGCCTACCTCCTGTTAGCCTTTCATAAAGCCCTAAAAATCTTTTTTATAGCTATAAGTTTTGTGGAGATGTGGTTTTCTTCTTGGTAAATTTGCTGCTTTAATTCAAAAAATTAATAGCTTATGGCAATTGCATTATTGGTTATAAGAGCATTTTAATTCCAATAACTTAAGAAAATAAAAAATAAGAAAATGTAAACAAGAAAATGCTTACATTGTCTGTAAGTCTTAAGGCACTCTAATATTTTCTCTCCTATGGAGGAAAACTGATATTAGTTCCTGTAAAGGCTGCATCACCTAAGAGGCTTCTACTATATACTTATGGTAAAATTACCCTTAATTCTCCCAGTCTGTGCATGGTAGATTCTCTTCCTCATCTTCAGACTCTGGTGATGCCTCTTTAATCCGTCGTAGTGCTTCATGGATGCTGCGAGTTAAAGGATCATCATCAGGTAAAATTGTGAATGATTCTTTCATAATGTCCTTTTGAACCTTCTTCAGTTTCACGCCTTTTCTTATCTGTGCCAGGATGTTATTGCTGTCATCTTCATCGGGAAATGGGGGTAGATTTCTCTGTTCAACCTTCCTCAGGTGGAAGCTGCCACGTTTCAGGGAAGCCAAAACTTCATCCATTGGTGAACTCACTATAGAAAATAGTAAGACTTACTAAATATAAATTTACATACTACAAGTTTTAATTTTATCTTGTGTGCAGTATTCAGATTCAAAGTGAGAAAGGTGCTTGATAAAAGTGTGCAGTAATCAGATCCAAAATGAGAAAGGTGCTTCAAATCTAGTATGGACGCACTTGCCTTTTTTGGATCTCCTTAAAGCCACATATCTTCTTGTTTGCACAATAGCGGCAAAATGGTCCTAGGAAAATCTATGTTTAAATTAAGGGATTGATAATATCCCAGGTCACCTAAATGACCTACATAAATGGGATAAATAATTCAAATTATAGCACATTAAATAGTTTCAGGCAAACAATAACTTTGCCTTCATTGAAGGAAAAAATAGATCTTAAACAAAATGTGCTTATTTCTTCTTTGGATGCATATTTTTGTTAATTTTCCTATTATAAATAAAACAAAGGAAATTGTTTAGACTATAGAGGGAAGGGAAGATATTTTTTAAAAATTATAAATCTCTACTAATCATTTATTGAATACAGTATATGTCTACTTTTTGAGGTTGCAATTTTTTAAAATCTTGAAAGAAGTATCCTTCATTAACTTGCCCCTGAGAGGGAGACAACAATGGAGATATATTTAAATAATAGATAGATATAAACCTGATGTTTTTGGATGATTGGTGGAAACAATACTAATATTGGAATCATGTTGTTATTAGGAAAAAGATTCACATGGTAGTAATCCAGCATTCCCAATCGATTAAGAATGTATTATTAATCTTCCCCCACCCTCCCATAAAAATTGAAGTTATATTACAAATGCTTTTGAAAGATCCTTTGTTTCAAATATATGGGCCTAGGCAGATATTGTTCATGGAATACAATCTCAAAGTTTTATTTAGTGTGACAAGCTAATGATTTGAAATCTGGCTATTATTTTTGATTATTAGCCAAGCAATAGTAAACAAACACTGGTTTTACTTTTTACGTAACTTCATTCAAAATAAATAAAAAATTACCTCTTCTTCTTTGCAATCCTTCTATATCACCAGTTTTCTTCAATTTTTTCTTGGCACTGACTAATTCACTGCTATCAAAAAAATGAGCTGATGGTGCAATAGTGAGCAACGGAGCTGGCTTCTCTGTATTGCTTTGTTTAACAGGACTAGTGCTTTTTTCAGAACACTGAGTAGATTCTTCCTTGGTGGGCAGAGGTGGTGGTGGTGGTGGTGGTGGTGGTGGTAGAGGAGGAGGAAATGGTGCCTCACTAATTGTTTTGGAATGAAATTCATTACTAATGAGAGCTGGAAGAGAATCAGTTTGAGAAAATTCAGACGTAACACTACTGGGAGATAGAAAAATATCTTCAAATTGTCCTAAACTTGTAGACTCCTGTTTTTGTAAAGGCTGGATTGCTTTTTCTTGCTCCATATTATCTGTCTGTGTAGTTACTGGTGAAGATGGTGGATGTTCTAGACAAGATGTTGAAGTGGCTGTACTTTTTCTTCTTGCGTGAGTCAGCCGAAGTCTAGTTGATTTAAGAATTACTTGCCCAGGATAGCGCTAAGAAAGAAAAAAGAAAGAAAGAAAGGAAGGAAGAAAGAAAAAAGAAAAAAGAAAGGAAGAAAGGAAGGAAGGAAGGAAGAAAGAAAAAAGAAAGAGAATTTAAATTGTAGAATTTTACACTTCTGTAGCCCAATATGCAAACTTCATTTTAAAAAAGTTACAGTAAGGAGTCATTTACATATTTCAGTGGCAGAAACTTTAAAATAAAATGAAATAGGAAAGCAGAAAAACAATATTAAAATCACATTTTCCATGAGGTGGAAAGTTTAGAATGTGGTCACAATAATTTATTTTCATCTGAAGAAGAAAATTCGTTAAAGATAAATTTTCTATTTCTGCACAATTGATGTAAATTGCATTATATGAAGAACATTTTAATTCCTCCATATTTTTTCAACCACCTTAGTGATATAGACAATGATTATTGGTAACCCCAACAGTCAGCAAGAACCATATCAAAAATCATCACATAGAAGGTAAAAAAGATAACAAATATGTGAAACTAAGCTTTAAAACTTCCTATTTTAAAATTCATTTTTAAAAAAAAATCAGTTTTTTTCTTTTTAAACAAAATTTTCAGTCATTTATAAATCATAACAGCATCTGAAAGGCTACATAATGTACTTAACTAAATTGAAAAATCCATTATAGAAGATTCAAGTGTAATTATTTTTTGTAGCTGAGTTGAAAAAAAATTATTTTAAGAATATTCCAATCTTCTATTAATAATCTATTCTAATTAATTTCTTGTGGTGTATAATTTAACAACCTATCCACACATCATGTGTATAGATGATAGGAAGGCTCTGGCAAATTGGGGTAACTGCTCAAATTGTTATTTAATAATGTCTTTAATAATTTATTATTTAAACTATTATATGAAAATTCAAGTGGTCAATCTTTTCCAATTACCTGTTTAAATGTTCGAAGTCTGTCCAATGTTTTCTGTCGTTCTTGACTAACCCATGAGTTTTTTCTTTCTACCTCATCTTGCAACCGCTCTCTTTTCTGATGATAAAAACAAAATGGTAAAATATAAGAGGAACAGAAATTTGGGAGAAAATATCCTTACATTATTACTTTCTTCTCCAGAGGACAATATAGTATAATCCTTAATAAACTACATGTACATGGAGGGAAGTAAGTAGTGGGGTACTCCAAGATTCTGTCTTCGGTCCAGTATTCTTCAGTATCTTCACAAACAATTTGGATAAGGGGATAGAAGGGGAACTCATCAAATTTGCAGATGATACCAAGTTGGCAGGAATAGGCAACAGTCCAGAAGATAGATTCAAGATCCATAAGGATCTTGACAACTTGAACATTGTGCCCTATCTAATAAAATCAAATTCAGTGGTGAAGTTGATTTTATTAAAAACAAAGAAAAACAAATGTACAGCTATACAATAGGTGGAACTTGGCTCAACAGTAGTAACTGTGTGAGAGATTTTGGGAGTCCTAGTGAACAATCACTTAAATATGAGCCAGCAGTGTGCTGCAACCAATGCAATCCTTGCCTACATGAACTAAGGGATAGAATTAATATCACATGAAGTATTGTAATGCCTTGGTGAGACCACATTTGGAATATTGCATCCAGTTTTGGTCACCACAATATAAAAAAAGATGATGTGACTCTGAAAAGAGTGCAGAGAGCAACAAAGATGGTTAGAGACTGGAGGCTAAAACATAAAAAGAATTGTTGCGGGAATTAGATATGTCTAGTCTAGTGAAAAGGAGGACCAGGACTGACATGAGCTGTGTTCCAATAATTGAGGGGCTGCTACAAATATGGATATAATGTATGAATTCTAATTACGGAGAGAACCAACCTACAGCAAAACAGAAATTTCTTGACAGTGAGAACAATTAACCAGTGGACTAATTTGCCTATAGGTGTTCTTTATGCCACCAATCAATGATGTGTATATGTGTGTGTGTGTGTATGTATGTGTGTGTGTGTGTGTGTGTGTGTGTGTGTGTGTGTGTGTGTGTGTGTGTGTG